TGAAAGAGAATAACCTACAACCTAGATTACTCTACCCAGCAAGGATCTCATTCAGATATGAAGGAGAACTCAAAAGGTTTACAGACAAGCAAAAGCTGAGAGAATTCAGCACCACCAAACCAGCTCTTCAACAAATACTAAAGGATCTTCTCTAGACAGGAAACACAGAAAGGTGGTATAAACGTGAACCCCAAACAACAAAATAAATGGCAACGGGACCATACCTATCAATAATTACCTTAAATGTAAATGGGTTGAATGCCCCGACCATAGGACAAAGGCTGGCTGAATGGATACAAAAGCAAGACCCCTATATATGCTGTCTACAAGAGACCCACCTCAAAGCAAGGGACACATACAGACTAAAAGTGAAGGGCTGGAAAAAAATATTCCACGCAAACGGAGACCAAAAGAAAGCAGGAGTCGCAATACTCATATCAGATAAAATAGACTTTCAAATAAAGACTGTGAAAAGAGACAAAGATGGACACTACATAATGATCAAAGGATCAATCCAAGAAGAAGATATAACAATTATAAATATGTATGCACCCAACATAGGAGCACCGCAATATGCAAGGCAAACGCTAACGAGTATGAAAGAGGAAATTAATAGTAACACAATAATAGTAGGAGACTTTAATACCCCACTCACAACTATGGATAGATCAACTAAACAGAAAATGAACAAGGAAGCACAAACTTTAAAGGACACAATGGACCAGCTAGACCTTATTGACATCTATAGGATGTTTCACCCCAAAACAATCAACTTCAGCTTTTTCTCAAGTGCACACGGAACCTTCTCCAGAATGGATCACATCCTGGGCCATAAATCTAGTCTTGGTAAATTCAAAAAGATTGAAATCATTCCAGTCATCTTTACTGACCATAGTGCAGTAAGATTAGATCTTAATTACAGGAAAAAAATTATTAAAAATTCAAACATATGGAGGCTAAACAACACACTTCTGAATAACCAACAAATCATAGAAGAAATCAAAAAAGAAATCAAAATATGCATAGAAATGAATGAAAATGAAAACACAACAACCCAAAACCTATGGGACACTGTAAAAGCAGTGCTAAGGGGAAGATTCATAGCATTACAGGCCTACCTCAAGAAACAAGAAAAAAGTCAAATAAATAACCTAACTCTACACCTAAAGCAACTAGAGGAGGAAGAAATGAAGAACCCCAGGGTTAGTAGAAGGAAAGAAATCTTAAAAATTAGGGCAGAAATAAATGCAAAAGAAACTAAAGAGACCATAGCAAAAATCAACAAAGCTAAAAGCTTGTTTTTTGAAAAAATAAACAAAATTGACAAACCATTAGCAAGACTCATTAAGAAACAAAGGGAGAAGAACCAAATTAACAAAATTAGAAACGAAAATGGAGAGATCACAACAGACAACACCGAAATACAAAGGATCATAAGAGACTACTACCAGCAGCTCTATGCCAATAAAATGGACAACTTGGAAGAAATGGACAAGTTCTTAGAGAAGTATAACTTTCCAAAACTGAACCAGGAAGAAATAGAAGATCTTAACAAAACCATCACAAGCAAGGAAATCGAAACTGTAATCAGAAATCTTCCAGCAAACAAAAGCCCAGGACCAGATGGCTTCACAGCTGAATTCTACCAAAAATTTAGAGAAGAGCTAACACCTATCTTACTCAAACTCTTCCAGAAAATTGCAGAAGAAGGTAAACTTCCAAACTCATTCTATGAGGCCACCATCACCCTAATTCCAAAACCAGACAAAGATGCCACAAAAAAAGAAAACTACAGGCCAATATCACTGATGAACATAGATGCAAAAATCCTTAACAAAATTCTAGCAAACAGAATCCAACAACATATTAAAAAAATCATACATCATGACCAAGTGGGCTTTATCCCAGGAATGCAAGGATTCTTTAATATCTGCAAATCAATCAATGTAATACACCACATTAACAAATTGAAAGATAAAAACCATATGATTATCTCAATAGATGCAGAAAAAGCCTTTGATAAAATTCAACATCCATTTATGATTAAAACTCTCCAGAAAGCAGGAATAGAAGGAACATACCTCAACATAATAAAAGCTATATATGACAAACCCACAGCAAGCATCACCCTCAATGGTGAAAAATTGAAAGCATTTCCCCTGAAATCAGGAACAAGACAAGGGTGCCCACTCTCACCACTACTATTCAACATAGTTTTGGAAGTTTTGGCCACAGCAATCAGGGCAGAAAAAGAAGTAAAAGGAATCCAGACAGGAAAAGAAGAAGTGAAACTCTCTCTGTTTGCAGATGACATGATCCTCTACATAGAAAATCCTAAAGACTCTACCAGAAAATTACTAGAGCTAATCAACGAATACAGTAAAGTTGCAGGATATAAAATTAACACACAGAAATATCTTGCATTCCTATACACTAACAATGAGAAAACAAGAAAGAGAAATTAAGGAAACAATACCATTCACCACTGCAACAAAAAGAATAAAATACTTAGGAGTATATCTACCTAAAGAAACAAAAGACCTATACATAGAACACTATAAAACACTGATGAAAGAAATCAAAGAGGACACAAACAGATGGAGAAATATACCGTGTTCATGGATTGGAAGAATCAATATTGTCAAAATGGCTATACTACCCAAAGCAATCTACAGATTCAATGCAATCCCTATCAAACTACCAACGGTATTTTCCACAGAACTAGAATGAATAATTTCACAATTTGTATGGAAATACAAAAAACCTCGAATAGCCAAAGTAATCCTGAGAAAGAAGAATGGAACTGGAGGAATCAACCTGCCTGACTTCAGACTATACTACAAAGCCACAGTCATCAAGACAGTATGGTACTGGCACAAAGACAGAAATATAGATCAATGGAACAGAATAGAAAGCCCAGAGATAAATCCACGAACCTATGGTCACCTTATCTTCGACAAAGGAGGCAAGGATATACAATGGAAAAAAGACAACCTCTTTAACAAGTGGTGCTGGGAAAACTGGTCAACCACCTGTAAAAGAATGAAACTAGAACACTTTCTAACACCATACACAAAAATAAACTCAAAATGGATTAAAGATCTAAATGTAAGACCAGAAACTATAAAACTCCTAGAGGAGAACATAGGCAAAACACTCTCCGACATAAATCACAGCAGGATCCTCTATGACCCACATCCCAGAATTTTAGAAATAAAAGCAAAAATAAACAAATGGGACCTAATGAAACTTAAAAGCTTTTGCACAACAAAGGAAACTATAAGCAAGGTGAAAAGACAGCCCTCAGATTGGGAGAAAATAATAGCAAACTAAGCAACAGACAAAGGATTAATCTCAAAAATATACAAGCAACTCCTCCAGCTCAACTCCAGAAAAATAAATGACCCAATCAATAAATGGGCCAAAGAACTGAACAGACATTTCTCCAAGGAAGACATACAGATGGCTAACAAACACATGAAAAGATGCTCAACATCACTCATTATCAGAGAAATGCAAATCAAAACCACAATGAGGTACCATTACACACCAGTCAGGATGGCTGCTATCCAGAAGTCTACAAGCAATAAATGCTGGAGAGGGTGTGGAGAAAACGGAACCCTCTTACACTGTTGGTGGGAATGCAAATTAGTACAGCCACTATGGAAAACAGTGTGGAGATTTCTTAAAAAGCTGGAAATAGAACTGCCATATGACCCATCAATCCCACTTCTGGGCATACACACCGAGGAAACCAGATCTGAAAGAGACACGTGCACCCCAATGTTCATCGCAGCACTGTTTATAATAGCCAGGACATGGAAGCAATCTAGATGCCCATCAGCAGACCAATGGATGAGGAAGCTGTGGTACATATACACCATGGAATATTACTCAGCTATTAAAAATAATTCATTTGAATCAGTTCTAATGAGATGGATGAAACTGGAGCCCATTATACAGAGCGAAGTAAGCCAGAAAGATAAAGACCATTACAGTATACTAACACATATATATGGAATTTAGAAAGATGGTAACGATAACCCTATATGCAAAACAGAAAAAGAGACTCCGATGTATAGAACAGACTTGTGGACTCTGGGAGAAGGCGAAGGTGGGATGTTTCAAGAGAACAGCATCGAAACACGTATATTATCTATAGTGAAACAGGTCACCAGCCCAGGTTGGATGCATGAGACAAGTGCTTGGGCCTGGTGCACTGGGAAGACCCAGAGGGATCGGGTGGAGAGGGAGGTGGGAGGGAGGACCGGGATGGGGAATACATGTAAATCCATGGCTAATTCATTTCAATGTATGACAAAAACCACTGCAATGATGTAAAGTAATTAGCCTCCAACTAATAAAAATAAATGAAAAAAAAAAAAAAGAAAAAGAAAACCACCAACTCAATATGACAGTGATTTAAAAGGAATCTCCTTGGGCAATCTGCCAAGAAAATAAAAGACACTGCTCACTGCTTAAGAGAAGTTTATATTTTATCTACTCAATATATTAGACTCCTTTACTATTTTTTATTTAAAGAAAGGCTTTACAACAAAAAGTTTGAAGACTTAAAACTCCCTGGCAGTCCAGTCTCTGCCACTACATGGGGGTATAGGTTTGATCCCTGATCAGGGAATTAAGAGCTTGCAGGAAAAGTCTGAAGACTACTACTACTGAACAGGAATTTAAAAATAAGCTTTTGGGACTTCCCTGGTGGTCCAGTGGTTAAGAATCTGCCTTTCAACGTACAGAACGTGGGTTGGATCCCTGGTCAGGGAAGTAAGATCCCTCAGGCTGCAGGGCAACTAAGCCTGTGCGCCACAACTAGAAGGCACATACATACTAGAAGACCCAGCCCAGCACAGAAAATAAATAAATAACAATTAAAAATTATCTTTTGCTTTGCAGACTCATATATATTCAAGAATTACAGTTCTTATGCAAAAAGCTGATTAGAGCTAACTGTTGTTTATTATAAAAGTTTGTATAATGCATACCTGAAAACTCGCCCGTAATTCCCATGTACTTTATACACACCATATAGTCGATCTGCTACTCTCTGGAATAAATATTCAAAAGAAATTGCTATTAGTTATAAACCGTTCACTGTTTATAAGTTATAAACAGATTACTAAAAATACATTTTATCTTCATTAAAAAATACAAATGTATACTTAGTACAACTTGAAAAATATGCAAAAAAAAAAGAGCTTAAATCTCCCAAAGTCTCATCATGGGGGAAAAAACTAATGTTGTCATCATATTTATATAATTTTTTCATATATATATGTACATATATATATGTTTTAATTAACATTTTAAAATTTCCTATACCAAGAGTGCTAATATTTTTATCCAGCAGGTTAATATTATTTTTAATAGATACCAGTTAAAAAAATAGATGCATAAAATTTCACCTAGTGGTATATAAATTATATAGACAGTCCTTGTCAGGTACTCAGTTATCCCTAATTTTTTCTGTATTAAATAAGCATTCTCTGAGAGTACAGCTTTTTCCAAATTTCAGACTGCTTCCTTAAGATAAAAGTCCCCAAAGAGGGATCTACCAGGGAAGAGAATATAAACATTTTCAATTGTATTATTGATAGTTTTATACATAAATGCTACACACATGCAATATACTTCCTGTGCTATTTTATCAAATTAATGCCTTCTAACCATTTAATAACAGTAGAATTACAGTTTAGCTCACTGAGATTAAAATACATACCACCCCATCATTCACACACATCTTGCAAAAGACAAAAAACACTGTGTGTGGTAATCTCCTTTCTTCAAAGTGTTATGGACATGAAATAGAAGACCAGAAGTCAATGCCACATAAAACTCTTTTAAAAAAATTTCTAGTATACAATTTCTCAATGTAAATCCTGAAAATGAACTGCCCCTCTAACTCCTTACTCAGTTCAGTTCAGTTCAGTCACTCAGTCATGTCCGACTCTTTGCAACCACATGAACCACAGCATGCCAGGCCTCCCTGTCCGTCACCAACTTCCAGAGTTTACCCAAACTCATGTCCATTGAGTCAGTGATGCCATCCAACCAACTATCTCATCATCCCTTCTCCTCCTGCCCTCAATCTTTCCCAGCATCAGGGTCTTTGCAAATGAGTCAGCTCTTCGAATCAGGTGGCCAAATTCCTTACTCAAATATGAGTAATTTGAGGAAACAGGCATTAGCCATACAAATCTTAACCTGTTCAACACTTCAGCTTAAAAGTCAGTAAACCACACTGTAAAACTCGGAGCTGGTACAAGAGGATCATAAAGTGCTTTCCATCTCTCCTTGACCTGCTATGAAAAAACACACACCTGCTAGATGAGGGGACAGCACACTACTGGTCTACAGCTAGTTTCTGTGTAGTCTTACTAGAACAGTCATACTCACTCACGTTAGCACTACCTATGGCTGCTTTCACAGCAGAGTTGAACAGCTTCAACAAGGGCCATACGACCCAAGCAGGTGAAAATAATTACTATCTGGCCTTCAGAAAAAGTTTGCCAACTCCTGTACTAGACTCCATTTCCAGTACAAAATTCACAGTCTTTACTATGCTTGAAATTTTTCAGGGTTGTCCGCAGACCTCTAAACTAGTTACTCTGGGACGTTATTTCCCCATTATTTTTTGAGAGTCCTACAGAGTGTTGACTGGTTGTTTAAATGGGTTCCATTGTTAAATAAATTTTGGAAACAATGAGATTTAAAGTTTAACAGGTTGTTGTGGTTTTTTTTTTTACCTGACTTTTTAGATCTTTAACACTATATATGAATAAGGACTACTCAAGAGGGCGTGATTTGCAGTAGGGACCATCTAATAGGACTAGCATTATGAAGATGACAAAATGGAAAATGCCATTCTAAACTACTAACTTTTCTAGATTCTTATACTTTGAAAAATCAAACCTCCTCCTGAAAGCTGAGCATTTTATCATCTACCTAAGATACAAAGCATGGAAAAGAGGGAAAGAATTTGTTAAATAACCACATAAGTATAAAAACTAGAGCAACTTAAATACAAAATACATATCCAAAATAAACGTGCAAGAAAAAGTTTTTGAATCCCAGGTGTTTAAAAGTTTTGGTTTTTTTCTTTAAATTTTATCACTCCGTGCAGCAGATACAAAAAAAGCTTCAATCATAATAATTAGAGCTCTGGAAAATACTCTAGTCCACAGAGCATGACAAAAAGAGGCAAGAGTTCTCATACGCCAGAAAGATGAGCAACTACACAAGGAACCACTCTACTAGAGAATGAGGCAACACAGAGCCACTCAGCAGTTGTTACTGAACCAGCAGTGATGTTTCTGCTATCAACTACTCATGGAAGTAAATTGTGCTAGCCAGCTAAAACACGAGATGACTAGTACCCAGATCATCAGGCAGTGAGAAAAAAGATGAAGCAAAGAAAAACTATAGACCAAAAATGAGCATTTCTACAGAAAAGTAAAGATAAAGATGGCCAGGAAATAAATCATGAATTATTAAAACCTATGGCTCAGTGGTAAAGAATTCACCTGCCAATGCAGGAGACACAGGAGATGTGGGTTCAATCCCTGGATCAGGAAGGTCCCCCTGGGAAGGAAATGGCAACCCATTCCAGTATTCTTGCCTGGGAAGTTCCATGGACAGAGGAGCCTGGGGGGCTACAGTCCATGGTGTCACAAAAGAGTCAGATGCAACACAGGGACTAAACAACAAAACCAGATTAATTCAATGGTCACTGGTAATCAAGAATCGTGGTGCCAGGGAAAAGGGGCTAGACCCAATGATTTAGTCTAGACTGCCACTCAATTTCAATTCTGTTGACAAGTCTTTCTTTTTGAAAACTGATCATCTTAACAACTGACAGGAGAGGACTGACACCTAGCAAATAATATGACAACAGAAGAAACCTGACAGACTCATCATATCATCCTCCCCAGCTCTGAATCATTTGGATCTATGCTAAGAATGCCTTCCCTATCCATACTGAAGTAGTAGCAGATTAAATGTTAAAAAGTTTTATGACAGTCTATTAAATGATCTTACTTTAAAAATCTGGACACATAGTTTTTCTTCTGAAATTACCTCCTAAGGAGGCAATGATCATGGAATTTAAGACTCATGACACTACTGCTAAAATCTTTCCCAAAGGAGTTGTAAGACTTTACATTGCCATCACCGAATATTTCATAAACACTACATATTGCTATCTATACAAATGACTACAAATTAAATGTTAAATAGTAGCTCAATAATTTCAGCTTACACAGTTAGCATATTAGCAAAGTTAAGCAATCCTCCTTCCCTTCTAAATTTGATTTCCCCTAGAGAGGCAGCAAATATGATTATAAGAAAAAAGGGATTTGCTTCCTAATCTATAAACTGGGGACAGTCAAAGCACCTACTTTCAAAGGGCCACTGTCAGAATTAGGTAAAAATAACATACCATGGTTGGCTTACATACAACAGTAAAGATAATAAATATTAGATCAGTTCAGTTTAGTTCAGTCCTCAGTCATGTCTGACTCTTTGCGACCCCATGGACTGCAGCACACTAGGCCTCCCTGTCTATCACCAACTCCCGGAATTTACTCAAACTCATGTCCATCGAGTCGGTGATGCCATCCAACCATCTTCATCCTCTGTCATCCCCTTCTCCTCCTGCCTTCAATCTTTCCCAGCATCAGGGTCTTTTCCAATGAATCAGTTTTCTGCACCAGGTGGCCAAAGTATTGGAGTTTTAGCTTCAGCATCAGTCCTTCCAGTGAACACTTAGGACTGATTTCCTTCAGGATGGACTGGTTTGATTTCCTTGCAGTCCAAAGGACTCTCCAGAGTCTTCTCCAACACCACAGTTCAAAATATTAGATATTAGTATTTTTTCCTTTTGTTTTAGTTTATGAAACATGGATGATCTCATCCGATTATCACAACTCTATGAATAACACACTCACTCATGTCACAAAAATTTATGCAGTACCTACTGTGTACAAGGCAGATACTCTCCAAGAAAACAAACTCTAAAAGGTCTCTAGATTTGCCTGAAAAACTTAGTAAACGGCAGACACAAGTGTTAACTCCAGCTCCTCTCAATTTAAGACTACCCACCCTTTCTGGTTGTTCTGTTTTTAATATCTTAAATATTAACTCTTTAACCTGTAAGTCATTTATTTTTCACCTTTTCTATCAAGACTTTCAAAAGAATTTTTCCCAACAGAAAAGACAACCAAATAATTGTATCTTCTCTTTATCTGTTAACAAGTCATCATGTCTCCAACAGTGTCTAAAGCCTTCTCCTGACACTGAATGTTACAAAAAGGCTCTCCCTGTGGCAATCTCTATGTTGTTTTCAGGATTCTGTCAAGTGTTGGGCTCTAACCTTCCATTTTTAACTTTTATGTTATTGTCAATGATTAAAGAGCCTTTTTCCTAATTCTAGAACAATCAAGATTTCAGCTATTCCATATTTTTCACTGGCATTTATCTTATTTACACAGTCAAAATCTCAATCTGACTCACAGATCAAGTGCTGTCTTTCCTTTGAAGCGCTCAAGCAGTCTTTAAGGTCAATTAAGTTTCTGAAGCCTGTTTTCATAAAGTCTAGGGTAAATATCTAGACCCAGAATTCTCTTACTTGTATATTACAAGCTCTTTGATGACAAGGTCATTTTCTTTAGAAGTTCCTGTCATATATACCTTACTAACCAGCTCCCCTTGGCTGGTTATAGTTAAGTTCAAGAAGCAATTTATCTTACTGCTTTTCAAGATTTTTTTAAACATAAAACTGTCAGCACATACATTTATTTATTCATCCATTCAATGAATACATAGTGGGTGCTATTTGAGTCAGACATTATTCTCAGGATTCAGCAGTAAGAAAACAAAGCTCCTGCTCTTGCGAGCTCACATATATACTAGTAGAGGAAATAATTAACAGTTCAGAATGACAGAAAATGACAGAAACAATAGAAACCTGCACCGCATTTTATATAGGATGCTCAGGAAAGATAATTTCTCTCAAGAGGTATTTGAACCAATAACTGAACAACAAAAAGAATAAGCCAAGAGAGGATCCTGGCGGTAGGGCATGGGGGAAGAATGGTACAGGCCCAGGAAACAGCAAATAAAAGACCAGAAACAAGCTTGGCATGGTTAAGAATAGTTAGAACAAGGCTAAAACGAAGTGCCGCAATGTTTAGTCACTAAGTCATGTTCTTCTGCAACCCCATGGACTGTAGCCCACCAGGCTCCTCTGTCCATGGGATTTCCCAGGCAAGAATGTTGGAGTGGGTTGCCATTTCCTTCTCCAGGGGATCTTCCCAAACCAGGGATCGAACCCTAGTCCCCTGCACCTCTCCTGCATTAGCAGGCAGATTCTTTACCACTGAGTCATGAGGGAAGCCCTCAAAATGAAATGTACAAAGTACTGAAACAGCTGTGTGCGAGACTCAAAATTTTCTGTAACATCACTATTACATTTTATCATGATCTCTAAAGATCATTAAGTATTAATCACATTCAAAAATATACTTTCAGCAGAAAGCCAAATATGATCACTGGATATCCTACCTTGACTGTGATAATTTTCTTACTTGCTTTATGAGAGCAATCACCCATACCTTCTTGCAGGCTAGATGATCTGCAGCACAGCTTCACAACAGTGATGACAGTTATTTCCTCCCTCCTCTAGATCTCATTCAAACTTATTCCCTACACTTTACAGATTTTCTGGGTTTTAACTGTTACACTTTGTTCAATTCACCACTCATCACTGACACTTCTGCAAAATCTGACTATGGTTGGTTTTTCTGCCTTTTCCCTTTGTTTCTTCTGGATGTGAACGACTGCTTGAGAACCTCTCAATACCTGGAGCTGGTCACGTGCCTGCTTTAACAGCGTGCCTCTGCCCACCCAAGACCCCCAGCACTGTCCAGCTTCCTGCGGCATGACACCTTCCACAGGGTGCCCCCTCTTCCCTTTGGTGGAAGGTCTTTAAGAAGGATACAGCTTTCATAATCAGCCAGACCTCTAATTTAAGTAAATTCTCCAGGTTTTTTGACACAGAAGACAAAACAATATGAAGGGTTCTTCCAGTCTTCTGGGGTGTCTCTGACCCCATCTTCACTTTCCATTAAGAACTGTTGCCTTATTTGTTTAGGTAACTTCAAAGCAACTAGAGGCCTAGAAATTTTATCTCATCAATTCACGAGTCCTTTTCAATACCCCATTCTTGACTCTACCCTAATAATTCTCATAGGTACCTTTTTCTTTCCCTACAAAGTATCTTACAATTTACATAAAGAGTCCTATAGTACTCTGGATGGTTACACAGATTGGGCCAATATGAGGATACTTCAAAAAGAGTGTTCCCTTACTTTATATTTTTATACTTTTTATGAAATCTTCAAACATACAGAAAGTAGAGAATAGTAGGATATACCCCATTTCCCAACACTTAACCATCAACAATTATCATATGGCCAATTAAGTTGCATCTAAAGTTGACCCCACTCTGCACCCTTTACCAGCAGACTCTTTCATTAAAACAAATCCCAGATAATATATTTCATTTCAAGATGATTCCAATGAGTGTAAGATATGATCCCAGACCTGGTAACTCAGTGTCTTTCAAAGCCTTTAAGACCAGTTCTAAGGTTTTCTCTAGGTTACCCCAAAGGACCAGAGTGGATGATACAACATTTTTCAGATACTACATTAATCCACCCAAAAATATATTTCTCCATGTCTATTACAGCCAAACTCTACAGGTAAGTACAATCATCACTGGTATATTTCTAGTTCCTCATGTCATAGCAGACCATTACCCTACATAAGTTTATTTAGGATAATATAAGAGCACAGACACAGAATGACTTAATATTAACTATTTACCAACCTTAAAAAAAAATCTTGAAAGAAAAAAAGAATAGGTAGATCAAAGTCACACAATTATATTCAATGCTAAAATGGCAGGCCCTTTGATAAATGTTTGTCAAAACAACCATATACTAAGGGGAAAAAAAAAAAACAAGAAACCATACAAAGACTACAGAGAAAACAATAGGTTAAAATTCTTTAAGTTATCTATGCCAGAAAAAATTTCACAATTAAAAAAATGCAATTTAGGTGAATAACACACCAAATTTGAATATAAAAATCAGTTATTCATCATAAATATCTTCCATTACTTAAAAACATAATGATTAAATGAGAAGCACTTCCATAAAAACACCTGTCAAAAAGATTCTGGTGACCACTTACAGCTCTGACTCGAAGGAGATGTGAGATGACAGATTGGAGTTCATCACTATAGTGTTTTAGTTCAATAAATCTCCTGAAATAGGAAACAAAACATCATTTTTTTCATGAAAAGCAGTCAAAAACTGAAAGACAAAACAGCAGTTCCTGAGAATAATGAGACTGACTCTATTTAACCATATGCTAGCCTTAAACATTTACACACTGATACAAACTCAAAAAGTTCTAAAATTACTACTACAATATTATAAAGTAATTAGCCTCCAACTAATAAAAATAAATGAAAAAAAAAGAGCTCTTAAATTAAATAACCACATTTTCTTTAGATATTTTTAAAGCCAAGGAAAGATGTCATACTTTATAATTAATACCGTGGAACTGAGATACAGATAAAATTTGTTGGTATGAAAAATTACTTGGGAAAAAAAGAAAACAGGAGAAAATTTATGGTGCTAAAAAAATCTTTTGGTATAAACAGAAACTCATGATCTCGAACCCTAATCTTCATGCTGCTCAGTAATCTTTGTTTCTATAATCTAATACCTGCCATTCTCCATAACGACCTGAAACTTCATATAACACTGCTCTTCCAGCAATGTAACAGCTTACTTCACCCTCCTCAAAAACTTATTTCCTTGACATCATTGTTAATTTTTCCTTTTACTCTCTGGTCACTCCTAAAGTCTCCTTTGCAGGACTGACTTCCTTCACCAATCTCTTATACTGTCAACTTTAATGTGCAAAGGACTCCTAAAATATTTGCCAGAAACACAACTGAGGGCCTCAGTAAAAGAAGGCATGAGTAATCACCATAACTGTACACAGAGGCCCTAGTGGGACTCAGGAATCTGAATTTATAACAAACTCACTCACAGGGTTCAGATGCTGGTAATCTTCAGATTATACTATGGAAAACACCCTTCAAGCACTGGTTTCTTTAGAGTTCAGCCCTAGGTCCTTGCCCATATTACAACCAATCATTTGGTCTACATACTCTATGTGCGTGCATGCGGGCCAAGTCACTTCAGTTGTGACTGACTCTTTGCGACTCTATGGACTCTAGCCCACCAGGCTTCTCTGTCCGTGGGATTCTCCGGGTAAGAATACTGGAGTTGGTTGCCATGCCCTCCTCCAGAGGATCTTCCTGACCCAGGGATCATCCTGGGTCTCCTGCAATGGTAGGCAGGTTCTTTACCACTAGCGTCATGTGGGAAGCCTGTACTCTATGTGACTTATTCACAAAGCTTCACGATTATGATCTACATGCTGCTGAACTCCAAATATCTATCTCCAGCCCAAAACTCTCTCCGAAATGCTCGCTCTATAATGCCAACTGGCTAGCAGATATTAGTAGCTGCTTACATATCCAAAGTTCAACTTATCTTCCCCTATCCCATCAAATCTCTCTCCTCTGTACTCCCTAGCAGTTTAAAGAATGAAACCTAGGTGTCACCTGTATTTCCTTCTCCTCTCTTTCATCCCATACATTCTATTAATCACTTGGTTTACCTCCTAAATATCAGCCAAATACTGCCACAAGGAAGTAGAAGACTCAAGGTCCTCCTCCTCACTACTTTGAACAGTCTAAAGAAAAATATCCAACTAATAAAAATAAATGAAAAAAAAAAAGGAAAGAAAAATAAACGTGCATGAAGGAGGTATTATTTTGGTATTCCCTCTGAAACTCTTTCTGGTTTTCTAGATTTTAAGAAAGAACAGAAAGAAAGTGTTTTAGTGATATAAACTATTTTAGTAGTACTATGAATAATAACTAATCTACTGGGCCAGCTAGACCTAGAACAGAGATTCTATATATTAAAAATCTGTTACAACAATGACCGATACAGGTAATTCTCTAATCTAAAACTTAAGGCAAACAAATTCTATTACTAATTATATACTTTAACAAGAAATTAGGAGCAAATAACTGCCCTGGTTATGTTATTGGCCGTATCACATTTAAAATTCTATAATATGGATATTAAATAAAATTTAGCAAACTAGAAAAGATGGTAGGTCAGAAAAGGGAAGACAAACATACAATTGACATTTTTTAAAAAAACACTTGACTAACAGTAGCATTAAAATATTAAATTGTCTCATTTACACGCTCCTGTAACGAATGTACATTCACCAATGTTGTAAACTCTGCCGCTTACATTTTCCAAAGCTTTTTTTGGAAGGTGACATGATTTTAGTTCTTAATCTAGACAACACTTCTTATATACTATGGATGTCTAACCTTTTAGTTCTTAATCTAGACAACACTTCTTATATACTATGGATGTCATAACCTTTATTAAAACCTCAGCGGAATCTTAAATGCATACTGTAAAGCAAATGTCTGTCTGAAAATGCCCCGTACTATGATACAACATTCTGGAAAAGGCAAAACTATGGAAACAGTAAAAAGATCAGTGGTTGTTAGGGTTATGGGAAGGAAGAGATAAAAAGGGAGAGCAAAGAGGATTTTTAGCACAGTGAAAATACTTTTCATAATACTATAATGATACATACATGTCATTGTACATGTGTCAAAATCCATACAATATATAACACCAAGGGTGAACCCTGATGTAAACTATGCACTTTGACAGGCATCATGATGAGTCAATGCAGGCTGATCAATCTTATCAGCCTGGTATCACGCTGGTAAGGGATAACAGGGGTGGCTGTGTGTATCCAGGAACAGCTGTTCAAGTGTAGGGGCAGAGGGGATATGGGAGCTCTGTATGATGTTTCACTTAGTTTTCCTAGGAACCTAAAACTACTCTAAGAAACAAAGTCTATTAAAAAAGTGAAAACCTCAATGGTTACCATCACAATTTCCTAATTACCAAAACTTTAAAATATTAATATTTACATCTTATATTCAAAAGTTATATTAAAAAGTAGAGGCATTACTCTAATGTGTTACGGTTTATGAAAATCAGCATAACAGGCTATTAGACTATGCAAATTTGGCCTTTGTCTGCTAAGAATGTACACTACGTAGAAGTTAAGGCTTGAAGGCCTGACTAGCGAACTTCTAACAGGCCTCGTAAACTTGGTCTTTTAACTTGGGTTTTTCCAAGAACCCCATCTACCTAAGCACATTTCTAACTGGAAAGTACAGCTGAACTAAGCTTGAGGCAAAGGTCCGTATGATGAAGAGCCTGAATTATCTGCCAAATTCAAAGAATGAGCAAAACCAAATCTTAAATACCTAGATTCCACCCTTCGGAAAGTTATTTCTGAATACACAGCTTCATTAATATAGAAATGCTCTCACAAACTCCAAACTAACATTAATGAAGTCAGGTAACCATCATATAGATATAGTTCCATGAAATTATTGTACTAGTATGCATTTACTTATCAAGTTTTCTTGGCATTCAAAGTAGTTTATTATTAAAATAGATAATATATTATCTTGAGTTTTGCACATATCTGACAAGCAAAGTCTAATAAGAAAACCTATTTTATATGAAATTAAAATTACTTTCCTCATTTTTCTGATACCTTCAATAACACTTAATAAATCCTTCCAGGAAAAAGCAGTGGTTTCATTTCCTAAAACTTCAGTTACTTACAACCTTAATCCCAATAAAATCATCAAATTTCAAAATCAGTTTTAGACTTTAAAAGGATTTCACTAATATGAATTTCTATTTAAAATATTTAGCAAATAAAGTGCATACATTCAGAAATGAAAAATTAAATAGATTGATAGGCACCATTCAAAACAACATTGTAACTGTTATTAAAACAAAACCTTACTTGTCTGGGTTTTTCACTCTGAATGTTGCATTAAGCGCTTTTAACCTGGAGTCTGCCTGGAAAAAATAATTTATTCACTTAATACAATTACATTTCAGGGTATAAATCCAAACAGTTTTATTTTCCCTTTAGAATTAAGCTATTCAAGTATACTTTTCTTCATATTATTTGTGTCAAACACATTAAACATATCCCAAAAAACACCTAGTAGTTATTTTTTTAAACACTGCAAAAATAATATTATAAATACATGACATTCAATGATACCAAAGTAAAACAACTGTAAATACCAACAGACAAGCAAGCATACAGCTCTGCATTATAATAACTCAGAATAGGTTGTGTCAAAAAGTAGTTTACTTTTTCTCTAAATCAAGAAGAACAATGATCTGTATATATAAACTAAATAAAATTATTGCTTTGAAGCCTGTGCATTACTGACAGATTCTCAGATGGAACCTAAACCAAATGTACACTGGTTTTTCTCCTTTTCATGATCAGAATTTTAGAAAAGAAAGAAATATGAAAATGCCTGTACTAAATTAAAACAAGCTAGATGACATCAAACTAATTCCTTTTTAGCTGACATAAAACATTACAACACAACTCTTAAACAACCTTTACTTATTTCTAGATATTCTGACACAACTATTTAACTACCTTTACTTATTTCTGCTGCTGCTTAGTCGCTAAGTGGTGTCCAAATCTTTGCAACCCTGTGAACTACAGCCAGCCAAGCTCCTCTGTCCATGGGATTTCCCAGGCAAGAATACTGAAGTGGGTTGCCATTTCCTTCTCCAGAGGATTCTCCTGACCCAGGGATAGAGCTCACATCTCCTGTGTTGGCAGACAGATTCTTTACCACTGAGCTACCTGGGAAACCCTTTCACTTCTACCTTATTTCAAAGGAGGGACAGAGGGATCAACACTAAATAATAATTTCATTGTATAAACTTATACTTAATATATCCAAATCTTATCCTCTTTGTCTATGTCCTCATTTAAAATATATAAATAAATGTATTTTTTCCCCCTGACCAAGGCACAAAAAACATAGGATTCACAAAAGGTAGCTCAATCAGTTAACAATTTTATAACATGATTTGGTTTTGAAAATACCAATCATCCTGAACATTTAATATCATTCCAACTTACAAAACCTAATTACAAATACTCCCCAAATAATAAAACAAACAAACCAGAACTAAGGCTTCCCAGATTACATAGCTTAAAAAAAAAAAAAAAAAAACCCTGCAATAAATATACCACTCCACAAATCCAGCATCCTAAAACTTTAGACCAAAAGCAATTCAAAGAGCTATCAAGAATATCTAAAGCTTAAGTTGTCATTGAATTCAGGGGATTCTCTTATTTCTAAAATGGGATATATTTTAGGAATTTCCCTGGTGGTCCAGGGGTTAGGACTCCACACTTCCAATGCAGGGGGCACAGGTTGGATCCCTGGTTAAGAAATGAGGATCCCACACGCCATATGGCATGGCCCAAAAAAAAAAAAAAGTTTTTAATAAATAAAAGGATATTTTACCAATTCTTGACATTTCTTACATCTGAAAGGCAAAGGAGCTAATGTATGTGAAAGTCCTTTCAATTACAGCATATAGAATTTAAGGCATATATTACTCCCTTGTGTTCTTTAAGTGATTTCAAATTACCAATGTGTTAATGATTTTATAGGCACAGGCAAATAAGATTCTTTAAATAAGGATGAAATTATATAAAACCCATCAGTAAAAATAGAAAATTTTCATGTGTATCTTTTTCTGAATCTCATACTGAATACCACCAATTTATTTTTTACTTTTAATATTACCAATTTACCACTATAAAGGCATATAAAGTATAAACCATCACCATCCTAACCTTGCTTATCAAACACTGTCAGGTCAGTCCACTATAATACCCCACTCAATCTGCTCATCATTTCACAAGATTCCATAAAAAGAGAAACTGCCTAAAATGTCATCAAATTAGCAACTTCTCCCCACAGCTAGATCACTAAGTGAAAGTCACTCAGTCGTGTCCGACTCTGTGACCCCACAGACTATACAGTCCATGGAATTCTCCAGGCCAGAATACTGGAGTGGGTAGCCTGTCCCTTCTCCAGGGGATCCTCCCAACCCAGCGATTGAACCCAGGTCTCCCACATTGCAGGCGGATTCTTTACCAGGTGAGCCACAAGAGAAGCCCTACCCAAATTTGACAGGTTACCGTTCATCCATCTTATCAGATTCCCCACTAAATATCTAAAGAAGCCCTCACACCACCCTACTCTGTCTCCTTCACTACAGCACCGTCTGAAATCCCCTGGGTCGTTTGCTTGTTTCCTAGCTGTCCGTGAAAATATAAGAGCCACGAGGAAAAACACAATGTGAATGGGGCCCCGAGAGCTGCACAACAGCCGCCATGGCACTACTTTAAACTGCATTTTCATTCCTGTATCCCCAGCACTTCTCAATGCCTGGCACAAGAAAAACATGCAATAAGTACACTGGATGGATGGAAAAAACCCCGACTACTCTACAGTCCCAACTTACTACCTTCCCATATTCTTCAATCCCCACCTCCCTTTCCCTTTCCAATTCCTATTACATATTATACTTCTCTTGTCCTAGACCTTGTCTTTCCTCTATTTCATTTTCAGATTCTTACCTTCCTCCAAACCTTACCTCGTAAACCATTACCTGTGTGTCCTGTCTCTAACAGTCTTCTTCCTTGACCCCTTAGGCTGACTTCACTGCAGGCTTCTCATTATTCAGGTCTCAGCTCAAATGTTCTCTTCAACCATGTGACCCAGTTTGCCCAGAACAGTACTGGTTTACACCTGCTGTCCTAACCTAATTATTAGCCAAGCCTCTTTTTATTCTCAAAACTGTCTCCATTTGAACAATATATTATACTGTCATATCTCAAAATAACCCCTGGGGAAAAAATTCCAGCTGTCAGATTCTCTCACAATAACTGTTTTCTTTTTTATCACCTATAACTTTCAAAGTATCTTAAACAGATGTAAATTTAAAGTCTTCAACTACTTCAGTATAAGCTCCATAAGAACATAAGAACATAGAGCTTATGAATGTTTCCAGCTTATTCACAGTTGGATCCACAGCACCTAGAAGAGTACCCGACAGTCTGTAGGTACCTAGCATCTGGAATCTCCAGATTTAGCAGAGATCCTAAAGGCTCAGATCTTGTCTCTGGCAGTTCCTGCTCCAGGCAACAAACAAGGTTCTAGATACTTCCCTAAATTCAGGGAAGTATAAATTCATTTAAGATTGGGGCATATGGATGACACTTACTTTCATGTAACTGGGTTAAATTGGTATTTCTTTAAATTAAAGTAACTAGTTAATATGTTCGTTACTCGAAAGATAAGCTCTCTGATCTCCCTTCAGTGAATTAACAAAAGTATCATATAGACATTCAAGAAAAACAAAGGAATGCCAATATACAACAGTGATGAAAAAGTCTGTTGCTCATATTTGTGTTAAATGAAGAACAAGAGTGGGAAGGTGGGGGGAGGGGAGAGAGTTCCCTAGTGGTCCAGTGGTTCGAACTCTGTGCTCTCACTGTCAAGGGTGTGCATTGAATGTTTAACCCCTGGTTGGGGAATCAAGATCCCACAAGTCATGTAGCATGGCCAAAAAAAAATAAAGCACAGACTTTTATACAACTAAATTTTTACAATTATCTTGCTGAGTGTGATACTCTAAAAATATTTAAGAGAATGTAAACTCTTAGGCCCAAACTACAGATTAAACATGTCTAGAAGAGAGAAATTAAAGCTATTATTTCAATTTGATGATGACAATCCAATAGCCAAGTTCAAATATTCTTTTTTTTAATTGCAGTATTATTGACCTATAACACTGTATTAGCTCCAGTCTGACTCAGAACAATCTCATTTTCACTGAAATATAGTTTCCAACATTCCTTTACCAACCATCTTTATATACATTAATTATGTAAGTAGCTAGTGAAAAGATAAGTAATACAGAATGGTAATTAAGAAGGCCTGGACTTGAATTCAGCCTCTATCACTTATAACTATATGACTGTGGATTAAGTCACTTTCTCAAGTTCCTGACCTAAAAAGCTGGGATAATACTGAACTAACCTCAAAGGTACTGAGGCAACTGCCAGCAAAAAAAGCATGAACACTGTATCAGAGTACAGTGCTTAAGCACATAGTAAACATTTAATGTTAATGATATTCAGACAAAATGCTGCTTTTTGTTCTAAACTTTTTTTTCTTACCAATTTTGATAATCTTTTAAAATTATCTTCCTAAAAACATTCTTATCTGTCATCTTACAACAATGTTTGTCAAGTTTTAGGCCCACGGGAGTCAGTATGTCTGCAATGAACTCTAGGATTCAATATTCTGAACAATCCCAACAAATTGAGACTCATGAAGCCAACTGACCACACTTGAAGAAACATTGAATTTAAAAAAATTTTTTTACATCAAAAAACTAGCTGCATGCTAAAAAGAAGAAGAAGAAAAAACACTGAATTATAAGTACTCAGCCAGCAATTCAACCTTTTCTGGAAGCCTCAAAGTAACCACTATAAACAACTAATACTGAATCCACCTGTGATGCAATGAAGCACGAGAGGCTACAAAGGTGTGTGGGGATTTGGCACCATGCCACAGACCCCAGTACTGCAGTGTCTGACTCTCATGTCACTGTTATACTTTACCAGCAGCCTCAGCTGTCAATTCTCACTATTGTCACAGTATGCCTATCTCCAGCAGTATTCACCTTTAGACCTTTAAAACTTTCTAGTAGGCTGCAGACTAAAAATAGTCAAGTTTGTCTGGATAACTACAATAAAATTAATTGGATACTATCTGAAAGGACCAAAGTATATCTGTAAGCAGTGTAGTAAGTTATGTCACACCCATCTGAACATCTCAGAAGTCAGTTCTAAATCCCACCTTTTGACTGTGATCACGTTAGTTAAAACTACCAAATACACAACCTCTAGATAAGAGAAGTGAGTCTTTCTCTCTCTATACATACATGAAGTGAAGTGGAGTGAAGTCACTTAGTCATGTCCGACTCTTTGCAACCCCGTGGACCGTAGCCCACCAGGCTCCTCTGTCCCTGGGATTCTCCAGGCAAGAATATTGGAGTGGGTTGCCATTTACTTCTCCAGGGGATCTTCCCAACCCAGGGATCGAACCCAGGTCTCCTGCATTGCAGGCAGACACTTCAACCTCTGAGCCACCAGGGAAGCCTGTCTATATATATATAGACATACAGAGATGCATGTACATGCTTAAATGTATGCATGAATGTACATGCATGTGTTAGTCCAAAAGGTTCCATTTCCTTGCAAGTTTTTCCAAATTTTCCCTATACATTTTATGTCTAGTCCATTTCAATTTCTATTTTTCAAATTACTAATACTGTGTACAGAGTATTACCTTTCAAAGATTTTATAAAAGTGAAACTAGGATTTTACCATAAGGCTACCCAAATATAAAACATCGTATCTAAACACTTAGGTAGCATTGACACACAAGATTCAAAGCACTCTGTAAACAGAAGAGTCTAAATGGATGAGGAAATTCATGAATTTTCTCAAGGCCACCCAGTTACGCACAAAAACTGCGCTAAGGAAAAACAACTGATAACCAGTTACTAAAATAATGACTAAAACAATGACTAAAAGTTTTTAAATTTTCTATTATATAAAGAGACATTACCCAAAAAAATATTTCAGTTTGTTCTTTTCTTTAATATTAGCTCCTAAGAAATCATGGACTAGTTCTCATAAAATTCTATCAAAATATAAACAATTTTTTAAAGTCACAGTTATTTCAAATCATCTTTAAAATTCCATTATTCTCTTTTTGAGCACCACAGTGAGTTATAGCTAAGAAAATACTAATTTTCATGTTATCTGGAGTTTCAGATAACTCATAAGTTGAACCAGTAAGTTAAAATTGGTTTATGAAAATATTAGACACTTAATTACATTTTCTGTGAAGAAAAAAACATTTTCTGCTGTCTTTTTGTGTTAAAATTAAAACACCTATATGCCAATGCATTAATCTCTAGTTCTTAAAATTACTGTAAAGACATTCTGTTCTTGCTGCCTAAATCTACTGAACTTCTGTTATTGCAGTATCATATGAACTGTTTATCAACTTATATATCAATTTATATTACTTTTTCTTCTTACCTAATTCTGTTTACATAAGAGATGAAAACTTAAAAATCTGCAATGTTAAATTACTTTTGGAAACAAGAGGGAGGGGAGAGCAGAGCAGAGTGAGGGCAGTCACCTTATGACTGACACGCTCCTTAATTTTTAGGAAACAGTTCCATTCCCAAACACTAACTTCTAATGATCAAATATGATAAGCAATCAAAATCTAATTAAACCTATATCACTGATACAAAATGAATCCTATGCCCACTCAAAACTGGCCACCTTGTCTCAGTATACAAAATAAGCGTGACTGATGACTACTCTTTTAGCCTACTAAGATAGGAAAACCCAAGTTCAACCCTTTAGAAGTGTCTTTTCTATCTAACAGAGTGAGCAATTATGCGGACACCACTGACAGTGACCGTGATAAGGACAGAAGAAAGAAAAAAACATAAAAAGCATAATATGACTATACTGTGGGAAAAATCTAACTTACACCTAAATTATTGTTTCAAAATGTTCTTTCCCAAGAGAATTAAATTCATACATAAATATGTCCATTATAGTCTCACTAGTAACAAAAATTACACCAATCAAAAATAAACTGCATTGTTTCTTTAAAAACTTTACCAGTGATATTAGCTGTAAAGCCTATTTCCAATATTCACTCATACAACATTCACTTCCAATAAACAGCAGGTACCCATTAACGCATGGCACTGGGCTAGAAATTGTTAACAGACATGACAAATTATTTCATACAATTACCCTTACCTTCAGCTGAAATCCAGTTTCATTTACTGTCTCTTTCCAGTTGCCTTCCTAAAAATTAAAGGTAACTTTAGATATCACTGTAAAATAGCCCATAAGTAATATCCCAAATAAAATACCCATCATTCTGTTCTTCCCTCATGGGAGATGGGGGAAGAGGGGTTAAAAAAGAATTCTTTTCACTGCAAAATTACACATACAATCCAGATTCCAAAAGATTACCAGAGACAGCCCCAAGATTTTCTAGATCTGGGATTCAAAACACTAAAGACTAACTTTAATACCATTTAAGTGATACCAAAAAGTACAATCTTTAGTATCTTTAAGTATAAAAATGTTAGCCAGAAGAATGATGTAATACTTTGGAAATTCAAAACAAACCATGAAATACATATAAATTAACAAAGGGCAGCTCCAAGAGAATCCTTAAGAAGAAGCACTCCACAATTTAAAATTTTAAAAATCCCAAGTCAAATGAAATTTTTTAAAAGACTAAATAAAAGAAAAATACCTGTGTTAAAAACAAATAGAAGATTTTGTCTCTACAAAGGATGGGATGTGAAGCAAGTCTCAAGAGGAAATTTTCTAAACCAATTCGTCGTCTTTCCACAAAATCCGGGTCCATGTTGTCAGCAGAGAGTTTATGCCAAACGAATTCTGCCTAGATAAACAAAACAATCATGAAGAATAGTCTCAATGCTAACTACTTCTAAACTACACCACCACTTCACTCCTTACCCTTTTTTCTGGTAGAGGTGGCACAACAATATGTGGATAGTAAACTAAAAGGTAGTTTCTCAACAACTCAAATTCACTATACCGCCTCCACAGTGAGTCTGTTAGGACACTCTGACCATCACTATGTTCAACTGACCTGAAAAAGACAGAATAAGATTTCTAGTGTTTTTTAAAAATACAAATGCATGCATACGACCTCCTTTTAAAACTGGTAACTCCATTTACTGAATGCTTATGAACCAGGAGGGCTATGAACCAGGCACTGAGAACTTTTCATGTATTATTTAATTCCTACAACAAACCTGGTGAAGCAGGGATTACTGTCCCCATTTCACAGATGAGAAAGCAGCTGCATGGTATATGCTCTTCCTTCAATCACAAAGATTTGTGGGTAGAGCACTCAGATCCATCTGATTCCCAAGCCCTCACTCCTAACCACTTTCCTCCATTATAGAAAACCTATTTGAACTTGAGAGAAATAGTCATATTAGGAATATTCTTCTCAACAAAAGCCTCAATATAAGATAATTCAGTTAACATAATGGCTGGCTTTATAATATAGTAAGAGTCTGGCTTCACCAGTGTTTCATTAAAGAAAAAAGTACTTTTAACTCTCACAATGAAAGAACAACTCCTGCCACAATGACAGAACAACATTCATGCCAAAGACCATGACACCAAAAAAATCCTCAATTTAACATCATCCAAAAATCAGATGCATCCAAGTGCCAGAAAAGATCCACAAAAGTAAAATGTCAAAGAGTGGCAAGAAGGGATGTAACAAATTAATTCTAGTCTTATATTTAATATAAAGAGCTGCAGGTAATGCCATGAGTCATCCATATAAAAGTTCAATTTGGGGGAAAGCTGGGTAAAATCATAAAAATAATATTTGAAATTATTTTGACTATTTATCATTTCTGCTAGCATAATGACTATTAGAAAACATCAGCCTTCTAAACATTATTGGAACCTTCCCATTTCCTAATAGAAAATAACTTACAGATCCTCCAAGAAACATGCATATAAACCAAAATGTGCATTTGTGCAAGTACAGTATAAAGGCAGAGAGGCTAAATCAGTCTCAGAATAAAATCTCGAGAAAATGGATACACCACACCATGCTCAACACAAGATGTTCATTGTTTTTATTATTTATATATCGTTTTCTAAATTAATTCACTGTATATTAATTAAAAAGGGAAACAATATGAAATTCAAAATATACAAATGGTTTTCATGGCAAGATACAGGATTATTAAATGATAATTCATTTTAAAGAGTTGACCTAACCATTAGCTGACTAAAACTGTTCTAATTCAGATTTTCGACTTCAGCTAAAAAAACATATCTTGGGTTAATATCAAGTTTCAAATTATTCAAAATTATTACCAACAGAGCCCAAATCTTGCTAAAAAGTAGATAAATATAGCCTATAGGCAGTACACCTAAAGGCTGTTAGAAGAGCTGTTACAAGTTGTTTTTGCTTTGTTTTATTTCAAAGCCCACAAAAAGAAGTCAGCGGAAGCCACCTAAAAGCATAGAGAAGACTTTCTTTGGACCACAAAACTACCCCATTTATCCAATTATTTAATAAATGTTTAACAGCACATAATTGGTTTCACATGCAATATTTAAATTAAATGTAACCGTTTAAACCATTTAATATGACAAAGTATACAGGATCTTTAGCCCTGCTTTACAAATTAGAAGAATTAAGGAAAGACATCATACAGCTTCCCAAGACAAAAGAGGCATCTTACCTGTTAATACACACAGTGTTCTTACCTATTTTAAAAGGGTTCATACTTAATGAACAGCAAAACATAGAAATCCCTGGAGAAATCAAAATCAATGACCTTAGCCTTATTAACCCTTAGCCTATTAAACTGTAACACGATAGGCAACTGCTAAACTGACTTTCTTCATGTGTCCACAGAGTAGGCTGATGAGCTATGTGATAAAGTTGAACTTTTAGTCAATGTCAAGGCTCAACAATATTTATAGTGTCGAAGATACTCTGCATAACACTGAATTACAGCAAGAATTCTACATGACCAAAATAATAAATTCCAGGGTTCTGTGGCTGCTGAAGGTCAGTTACAGTGCTGACAAAATTATTTATAAACTATCTATAAACAGTAATTTTCAAAGTGGATGTGCATATGATATGGGATACGCAAGAATTTAAGACAGGGAAAACACAACTTATAAAGAAAAAAGATAAATTTGACTATCTTAAAATGTAAAGCTTTTGTATTTGAAAGATAAAACTATGGTCCATGGCTTATTTGCTTCAAAAACACCTGGAACTTAAGCTTAAAATGTGTTAATTCCTGGACCCCACTCAAAATTCTGTAGCTTAACAAATTTTTCAGCTGATTCCTATATATTTTAAAGTTTAAGAATCACTGTTTTAAAATAAATGAAATATAAGTGTGACAGTCAACTCAATATTCTTTTGTGTACCACATTATTCACTGATGTTCCTAGATATTTATCCAGAGGCTAGCTATATTACTCATGTATGGTCACTTCTAACTCCAACTTTTGAATTATAATTCTCTATTCATTTCAAAGTCAAGAGTAAACAACTATAATAAATAGAGTAAACAGCTATAAATTATTCCAGATTATTGAAATCAAGAGGTTCTTCTAGCAGTAAAGTTAATCAACAGCTAATTTCATTGTTGAACTGGATGAAGAAACAGGCATATACTAAAAATATCCTTTTTAGTTTTAAATTTAAGAATTTACTTAAAAAGCTAGAGCCAATACAAATTTCTAAAGTATGATATTTTAAAATGGCTAATTAAACTAAAAAAAAAAAAAAAAACCTCTCATGGGACCATACTTTTTAAAAATTGACTTAAAAGTCTCTGATACATATGCATGTATGTACACAGGCAGGATACTTCCCTGATCCACCAGGCAAGTCCCTCTACTTTTCTTTAAAAAATATGGACTATACTTTTTTATTAATTTTTTTAAATATTTTGGCCACACTGCACAGCATGTGGGATCTAATTTCCCCAACCAGGGATCAAACCTGCACACGCTGCACTGGAAGCATGGAGTCTTAATGGACTACCAGGAAAGCCCCCCCTACTTGTTTTAACTGAAAGTGTTTCTTCTCAGCTCACACACAGAAAAGAGCTTGTCGGTGTAGTCTTGATATAAACTATTTATAATAAGCAAAATTCCCAGGTGGTGCAGTGGTAAAGAATCCACCTGCCAATGCAGGAAATGTGGGTCCGATCCCTAGGTCAGGAAGAGGCCCTGGAGAAGGAAATGGCAACCCACTCCAGTATTCTTGCCTGGGAATCCCATGGACAGAGAAGCCTGGTGGGTCACAAAGAGTCAGACATGACTGCACACACACACACACCCTTTGCTTTTCTCTGGACAAAACAGTTTAACTCATTTAACTTTTTGCTTATGAAGTAAAAGACTTTTCTGGTGAGTTTCTGAAGTAAATAACCTTATTTATGGCTGTGCGGAGTCCTCCCTGCTGCGTGGGCTTTCCTCTAGCTGCGGTGCGCAGTGGCTTCTCTTGCCGTGGAGCACAGGCTCTAGGGGGTGGGCCTCAGTAGTTGTGGCGCGTGGCCTCAGAAGTCATGGCTCCCGAGCTCTCGAGCACAGACTCAGTAGTTGTGGCACATGAGCTTAGTTACTCTGAGGCACGTGGGGTCTTCCCAAACAGGGATGAACCCGTGTATCCCGCATGGGCAGGCCTGTGATGTGGATGGGATCTGGATGTTACTTGACACTAAAGCAAGCACCAAGTAACATCCAGTAACCTTCGTTCTCCCTCCAAAACAAATACATTCAAATTTAGCTAGAGTACCAGGGTAAAAGAAAACCTGGTCACCTGTTAAAAAGTAAAGAAACAAAAAGACAATGACTTGTAAATGATTCCACTATACAACAGAATTTGCATCAACAGCTACCAAAGCTTTTTCTAACTTCAGACATAATTCTCATCACTCACCTTGTTTCAATGAGGTAAGCAGTATATGTTTCCTGCATGTTCATGGCATTTCTTCCAGTTCGCTTTTCTGCTTCTGAAACACTAATTTCTATCTTCTTCAACGAAAAATTACTTTCTGTCATCTGAATAAAAATAGAACAACAAAAACTTTTTAAATGATACTGAAAAAAAAACCCAGCTAGTATAATCAAATCCATTATTAGTACATATCTCAGGTTACTTTTTTTTCTATCTCTTGCGTTACTAGTGGCTGCTAAACGACATCAGCAAATGATATGCCTCTTTTTACCAGCATGTAGCACATTAAACTTTTCCAGAAGCTATTTTAGCAAGTGCCATAGATTTAATTATTAAAATGTAGGCATGATTATAGGAGAAAAAAATTAAAATAAAAAGCATACCTACAGAAAAAGAGACACAGATATACAGAACAGACTTTTAGACTCTGTGGGAGAAGGAGAGGGTGGGATGTTCAGAGAGAACAGCACTGAAACAAGTATACTGTCAAGGGTGAAACAGATCACCAGCCCAGGTTGGATGCATGAGACAAGTGCTCGGGGCTGGTGCACTGGGAAGACCCAGAGGGATGGGATGGAGAGGGAGGCGGGAGGGGGGATTGGGATGAGGAACACATGTAAATCCATGGCTGATTCATGTCAATGTATGGCAAAAACCACTATAATATTGTAAAGTAATTAGCCTCCAACGAATAAAAATAAATGGAAAAAAAAAGCATACCTATCACTTAAATGACCAAGAATAAATCTATATGGAAATGTATAAGAAAAAATTTAAAAACACTGTTTACAAGATGAATGGTCCTCAATACTGATCTTTTTATTTTACCAGTCCAATCAAATATAAAATGCTATATAACAAAAGGTGAGATTTTCAGCTTTCAGCTTTAAAAATTAAAGCTGAATTTTAAATTTTTTTAAAAAGAAGGAGCCATCACATATTTGATCATAAATTTGCCTAAACATTTTGGCAGTGGTTAACAGGCTCCACTGTGAGATGGCAGGTTTTTCTTTTTTATAAATATTGTTTTTATTGATTTATTCATTTTTTATTGAAGTATAGTTGATTTACAATGATGTTTTAATTCCAGGTATACAGCAAAGATATTCTTTAATATATATTCTTTTTCATTTTATTTGTGATTATAGTTTATTACAAGATAATGAACAGAGTTCCCTGTGCTATACACAGGACCCTGTCTATCTGAGATAGTAGGTTTTAAGAACAGGAAACTTCTTTCTTTTCCTGCTAGATCATCCCCAGGTCTGTATCAAACATCACTGGTGGTTCACAGGCTCTTTGTGACACTGAAGAAAGAAAGTGAAAGTGAAGTCGTTCAGTCCTGTCCAATTCTTTGCAACCCCATGGACTACAGCCTACCACGCTCCTCCATCCATGGGATTTTCCAGGCAAGAGTACTGGAGTGGGTTGCCATTTCCTTCTCCAGAGGATCTTCCCAGCCCAGGGATCAAACCTGGGTCCCCCGCATTGTAGGCGACGCTTTACTGTCTGAGCCACCAGGGAAGTGCTGCCACAGAAGAAGGTCTTGAATACACCCAAACTAGCCCGAGTTCACACACGGTGAGGCCATGCGATAACTGCTGCTCTTTCCTTTTTGTTCCCTTGCTTTTTTTTTCTCCCTTTCTCCCTGAACTTTCAAAGTTCAGAGGTGGGTTTTAATTAAAAAGCATTGTATTGCACTACAACCGGGGGTGGTTTGTGAAGAAGAGATATAAGTAAAAAGATGGATATACCAACAAGTTAAAAGAAAAAGCGGTATGTAATAAAAATCCATGATGATACTTTACACAGAAAATTAAATCTGTATGCTATGAAGACAGAATAAGCTATGTGACAATACACAAAATTAAATCAGTGATGAATAAAGATGACATGCTTAGAAAGTATCCCAAAAGCGCTGAAGAATAATAGAGGAGGTAAAGATGCGAAAAGAAAACAAAGGACAGAAAACTAAAAATGAACCCAAAACAATACTACTCTGTTGCCAAACAGGACAAATTTTATAAAATGTAAGTTTTATGTTCATGTACTAAAAGAGAAAACAAGATAAAGAAAAATCATTCAACTAAAAGAAAGCTCAAGAAATTACATAAGCATAAACCACTCAACATCAGGATTATGAAGTCCTCACGGGTTGAGATTATACATATAAAAAATTTTGGCCTACAGGCAAGCACTGATTTATCACCAAGTACTTCACTGAAAAATTATCTGAATTCTAGAATCAGATAAAACTGATAAAACAAATTATTTCCCGCCAAAAAGATAGTGCACATGAATCATAAATTTATCCCATTATGTCATCCAAATAATTACACAGAAGGGAAAAATAAAAGTATAAAATCAACTATCATAAAAACTAAAGACAGGCACATAAAAATATCAGCAGGAATTGGTAGATGATATAAAATTGCTAATACTGTCATACTAAAGTACAAACAGTGCCATGAATAGCATAACTAATGTTAAAAGGACACATTAAAAAGATTTAGAAATGGATAAACTTGATGACTGGAAGATGAGACTAGGAGTGTGTTTTAAAGAGAGAGATAATATTTTATGTATTTAAACTGAAATACAGTTGATTTACAATGTTGTATTGGTGAAACACATGCTTCAGATGTATTAAAAGTGGACTTCTCATCAGAGTAAAGAATATCATTAAAGAATGATGCTACGCTCGTATCCTATACTTACATTCAAAGAATAACATCCCAAATGTAGATGCTCGATAGGTGAATCACTACTTCCCACCTGACTTAAGACCAAATATATACAAAAGATGGACATATTTAAAAGGCTGACGAAAAATAAAATAAAATAAAATAAAAGGCTGATGAAATTTTTTATTTCCAAGTCAATGAGCAAAAGTCAATCTGTGTGCGTGTGTGCCAAGTCACTTCAGTCATGTCCAATTCTGCGAACCTATGGACTATAGCCCACCAGGCTCCTCCGTCCATGGAATATTCCAGGCAAGAATATTAGAGTGGGGTGTCATTCCTTTCCCCAATTAACTTTCCAACCCAGGGATCAAACCTAGGTCTCCTGCATTGCAGGCAGATTCTTAACCATCTAAGCCACCAGGCAAGCCCCAAAATCAATCTACTATAAGTTTTAAAATATTGCAAGGACTTCCCTGGTGGCTCAGTGGATAAGAATCCATCTGCCAATGCAGAGGACACGGGTTCGATCCTTGGTCCAAGAAGATTCTACATGCTGCGGGGCAACTGGGCCTGTGTGGCACAACTACTGAGCCCGCACTCTAGAGCCCTCAAATTGCAACTACGGAAACCCATGTGCCCTAAAGCCTGTGCTCTGCAACAAGAGAAACCACAGCAATGAGAAGCCTGAGAACCACAAGAAGAGAACAGCACCTGCTTGTCGCAACCAGAAGAAAGCCAATGCCCGCGATGAAAATCCAGTGCAGCCATAAATGAAGAAGTAATGCTGCAAACAGTGAAACAGTAAAAGCAAGCATAAGACAGGTAACAGTGATAAAAGGAATGATAAGAAACTATTAATTCAATAACTGAATGATTACTGAGTATATACAATGTCAGTCATTAGGAATGGGAGATAACTGAGACAAAGTGCGTGAGTTCAGTGGTTCAAAGTGCAGAGTTCAGTAGTTGAGTTTGCCTGAGGAATTCTCACCATTCAAAAAAGAGAAAATGATGAAAGATGATTTTTTAAAAAAGGAAAACTAAGAACCAATGCTTAAATAATACTTCTTAAAGAAAAAATCAGAAGAAACAGAACAGAAATAATAATCACCAGTATAAAGAAAAAAAGAAACCAACAAAAAATCTTTCTGGATTGAAAATATTTCTACAGCTCCAAATTGAAAGGCATGTGGTCCATGTATAATGAATTAGAAGATTAAACATCTTCAGCATAAAGGAAAAAAATCCTAAAAGGATTAAGGCAGGAAAATAAAAAGCACAACCACTGCCAAAGAATAAAGACCAGATTTGCCCTAGATTTCACAATAATATAAAGTCCAAATGACAAAGGAGCACCATGCATATAGAATGCTTGAAATATTATAAAAATACTAACACACTGTTCCTTTAAAGATAACTTTATCCAGAAGGGATTTTTGCGGTGTTTTTTTTTTTTTAGAAACTGATGCTCTGTTCCTACACTTTATATGGAAATACAAAGAACCTAGAATAGCCAAAATAGTTTTGAAAAATAACAAGTTGCAGGATCTATACTATCTCGTTTCAAAATTTATTAAAAAGCTAAACTAATCACCACAGTGGGGGCACTGGCAGGGTAGACATAGACATCAATGGATCAATGGAAGAGAACTGAGAATTCAGAAGTAAACCCTTACATTTAAGGTCAAATGATTTTAATAAACACACCAAGAGAATTCAACAGGGAGAGTCTTTTCAACATATAGTGCAGGGGCAACTGAGTAGCCACAGACCAAGGAAAAAACTCCAAAACTAGACCTTTACTCACATTGTACACAGAAATTAACTCAAAGTGGCTTACACACGCAGATATAAAAGCAAAACCTGGGGAATTCCCTGGCAGTCCAGTGATTAGGATTCATATGCTTTCACAACCAAGGAGCCAGGTTCCATCCCTGGTCAGAGAACTAAGATCCCATAAGCCATCTGGGGTAAGCTCAAAAAAAGACAAAGAAAACATGATCCTGGGATAAGCAAAGCGTTCTTAGATAAGCACAAAGGAAGAAAAAAAGACCACCTGATCTCCTAGTCTTCATCAAAATTAAAAACTACTGCTAAACTTTCAAAGATATCATTAAGAAAAAGTAAAAAGCCACAGCCCAAGGGAAATATCTGCAAATCTAATTATTTGATTAAAAAAAATATCCAGAACAACATGTGCTTATGTGCTCAGTCATGTCCGACTCTGCGACCCCACGGACTGTAGCCCACCAGGTTCCTCTGTCCATGGAATCTTCCAGGCAAGATGACTGCAGCAGGTTGCCATTTCCTACTCCAGAGGATCTTCCCAACCCAGGGATCAAACCTGTGTCTCCTGCACTTGCAGGCAGATTCTCTACCACCAAGCTACGTGGGAAGCACCCTCAATAAAAAGAAAAACC